TTTTAGGAGAACTTTTATAGGTGCACACTCACATGAGATCAGTGATAACCAGATCACTGGCTGGTCCCCAGTGATTTTGTGAAAAATCAGAGATTATTTTTAGGTTTGCTTGAGAACAGAATCACAAGTACTGGATCTTAAATTGTCTTTTTTAAAGAGATTGTGGTGAATGGGACTGAGTTTATGTTTATGTTTATAAATGTCTTTAAAAATATTTAAAAATACTTGAGAATATTAGCCAAATTATGGCTCTCAGTCATTTTTCCATCATGGAAGTGCAGTTCAGGACCTGGCCCAACCACTGTGATGATTCGGCTGGCTCGAGGCCAGGGTCTTTTTCCCAGACACCAAGGAACAGAGAGGCACCTCTGTCTTAGCTGTTCGATATGGCACTTCTGTGCTCTAGGAGGGCTTACCTGCCCTGTAGCCAAGTAGAACTTAGGTCCCAGGGCTCACCACTACTACAGCTGTTGAGTGAAAAATGGGGAAGGCTGAGCACACAGGCGACACCTCAATCACCGTGGACCTAAAGGCTATCTCTCCTTTGCCAGGAACACTTTCTTGTTCCCTAGCAGATGTAGCCCCCCCCCCTTTTTTTTTTAAGATTTTGTTTATTTGTCAGAGAGAGAGAAAGAGAGCATAAGCACAGGCAGAGGGAGAAGCAGACTCCCCGCTGAGCAAGGAGCCTGATGTGGGGCTCCATCCGAGGTTCGAGCTGGGATCATGACCCAAGCTGAAGGCAGATGCTTAACCGACTAAGCCACCCAGGTGTCCCAGACGTAGCGTTTGAAAGCCTTGAAAACTATGCAACTCAGGTAGGCCCTGGGGAACTGGCCTTTAGACCTAGAGTCAGATATAGGACTTCTTTTCAGGGTTTGATTATTCATACCCTCTATTAGCATGGATAAATCCAGCCTTGCTGCCAGTCCCTAGGTGGTGAGAAGTGATTCCTCACAGAGAGAAGCGTAGCCTTCTGCATCAGACTCCTGAGCTTTTAATCATCTGATGGCCTCAATTGTCACTTGAGTCAGTTTAATTCAGGGCTCTGTGGTAACTACCATCTGATGCCTCTATCCCTGTTTTCCTTATTAGAAGAGGCACAACTGTTACAGGAGAGGTGTCAAGTGATGCCAAATTAGTTAAAATACTTGGCATTTGCTTTTCCTATGGATGGAGGTTGAAGAGTTCCTAGGCCCCAGAAGAGAATGGACACTATTGCCAAACCCTGCTTTTAGTCTGGGGTTAGAGACATTAGCCACCAGAACCTGTTACACTGGGTATTGGAACTCCAGTGGAACCTGAAGTGTGGATGGGCCTCCCATTTCCAATATACCTCCATCCTACTGTTAGGAAAGACACTTCCTGCTTGGCCTCCTGCCATAGGACGCCCTGGACAAGCTGTTCTTGGAATCTCTGCCAGGCTTTTCCTCCACCACTGGTATTGCATTGCCTGTGTTCTGTGATCCATTTGTGACACCTATAATCCTGCATGTGGGGAGTCTAGATGATAAAGTGGTTTTGAAATAGAATTGGCTCCCTCTCCCTTCCTCGAAGTGATGGTAGTTAATTGGGTGGGGTGGGATGGGGTGGGTGGGAAGAGAGTTTATTCCCAAGCCACCTTTCTGCACCAAAAAAACACCAACAACTTCCAACATGCCATTCTCTGGGTGAAAGGGACTTAGGTAGCGTTTTTCCCCCAAAGGCACAGAACCTCAGCCACTAAGTTAGAGGGTCAACAAATCCATAATCTAAGCTAGTTACATACCTCACTGAATGTCGGAGGGCCAGGGCACTCACGTGGAAATCTGAAAATGCTCATCATGCCTTTGTGTCTCTCTCTGCCAGTTGCATAGGACCCATTTTATTTATCTGTAAAATGGAAATGTGCAATAGCTCCTTGGCAAAGTCACAAACTCCCTTCTCGAAGCATTCTAGATAAGTCAAAAGGCTATTACTTGCATTATAAAGGCCCATGTGAAATGTGTGGAGCTTTGGTCTGGAAAACAGTTAAATTTAGGGGAAAATATTTCATAGAAAACAAATGCTGTTTGTTTTTCGGGTTTTCTTCTGTCTGTGCATTTTTTTTCCTGCACAGAGACCTTTGAGCATTGTATTGGTTCCAACTCTTGTGGGAATTCTAGGCCTTTATTGTTTCCTTGGATTGTTCCAGATGAACAAATGCTGGGAAGTACCAAGCGCAGCTTGTTTTAAGCTTCCATACTTGCTACTTCTGGTGTGTGTGACCTCCGACCAGGCCCTGCAGGATGGAGACTGAGAGCCCTTCGGTCCCCCAGCCCACCCTTGTTAATCAGGTGGTACATAGCTGCTGAGATGGTCCCAGCCTCAGCTTGTGTGCTGGAGGCGTAGTTCGCTTGGGGGCTGGCAGACACGTGGCCATTTTAAACACCACTGTTCTTACCATTTCTGTGCCCTTGTGTGGGTTCCCTCTCTGAGTTTGGAGATCTTGGCTTGTCTCAGTGGATCTTTGTGAGAATTACAGAGAATATGGTAAAGTGCCCCAGCAGCAGCACCTGGCATGTAGTTGATGCTGCGTCCACGTTGGCCTGCCCCTCCCCCAGATTCACCCAGTCGGGATTTTGTGTTCAGTGATAACCACCAAGCAGCTAGAGACATACTTCTGGTCTTTTGAGGCTTTATGTGGGGGAGGAAAAAAAGCAAAAGCGATTTCAGTGCCTTCCCCTGAAAACACTATAGGAACTTTAATCTCATGTTTCCTTTTCTTGGCAGCTTTGACTTCTGGCCTAAGCATGACCAAAGGGCATTCTTTCTTGGAGTCCTGTTTTTCAGCCTTCTGAGCCAGGCACTGTATTGACTTCTAGAACTTTAAATCCTGAGAAGATTTAGAGAGGAACCTGAGCTCCTCTGAGGGGAAGGGACCTCACTCAAGGTCACTTGGTGAGCTGGTGCGAAGCTGGGAGTAGAACCCAGATCCCCTCCCAGTTCTCCATCTACATCCCACTGCAGTGGAAACAGGAAGGGTCTTGCATCTCTAGCCTGACCACCTCCAGAGAGCCCCGCCTCTCCTGGGACCTGGGACCTAGGAGGCTGTGACCAGATGGATGGCATGACCCCCAGACACTTGTGTCCCCCAGGCCTAAGCAGCTATTTTATTTTATTTTTTTATTTTTTTTAAAGATTTTGTTTATTTATTTGACAGAGACACAGTGAGAGAGGGAACACAAGCAGGGGGAGTGGGAGAGGGAGAAGCAGGCCTCCCGCAGAGCAGGGAGCCCGATGCAAGGCTCGATCCCAGAACCCTGGGATCATGACCTGAGCCGAAGGCAGACGCTTAACGACTGAGCCACCCAGGCGCCCCTAAGCAGCTGTTGTAAAACTTGGTTTTGGAAGGGCCAATATTCCTGTGACTCAAAGGTGTCTGACACTCCAGGTAGTAGTCTGGGAAACACCTTTCCTCTTTTAGTTATTAATTCAACAGATGTTTATTGGGTACCTGTTGGGCCAGGCATCATGCTAGATGCTGGAGAGATGAAAGCAAACAAAACCAAAGTCATAGTGAAAAGGATTCTAATCACTGGCGACCCTGCAACAAGCACTGTTTTTCCCTCCACAAAGAAATGTCTTTTTTTTTTTTCTTAAGACAAATTCTGACTGCCCACATCCCATCAAGCTAATGGAAAATTTCATCTCACTCTTTTTTTTTTTTTTAAGATTTTTATTTATTTGTTTAACAGAGAGCACAAGTAGGCAGAGCAGCAGAGAGAGGGAGAGGGAGAAGCAGGCTCTCCGCCGAGCAGGGAGCCTGATGCGGGGCTCGATCCCAGGACCCTGGGACCACAACCTGAGCCGAAGGCAGCCGCTTAACAACTGAGCCACCCAGGCGCCCCGCATCTCACTCATTCTTGTGCCTTTTCACTCCTAATTGTGCCTGGATTCAGGATTCTTAACGTAGTTGTCAAGCATTAGGAAATGCTCTCCGGGTCATTTGTCGTGATTATGGCTGAGTCACCTGCTCTTGGTACCCATTTGGTCCCTTTGGTCCAAGAGCCCCGCTGCTTGTAGGCCACTTTAGGGTGTAGGACTCCAGGGAGGCTGGTCACCAGTTAACTTTTGCCCTCCTAGGTCTTGGCATTGACTGGGTCTTTCCAAGGAGCATACTCTGGGAGGAGGGTGGGAAGGTGGAGGGAGGCACAGGTCATTCTCCAGCAAGTTCATGCCACTGATTTTGGTGTTGGCACATCTTGGTGTATCATTCTGAACATAAGGGAAAAGTGAGACTGTGAAGCCTTTTCCACCCAGACAGGCAGCATCAAAAATACCTTGGGAATTGAGAATAAACCTTATCACGTGGCAGGGGAGAGGCAATGTGGGAGGAAAAAAAAAATCAGACTTGGGTTTGAACCTTGGCTCTGCCTTTCCCTGCCCATGTCACTTGGAGCAGGTCTTTTAGTCTCTGCGGTCAAATGGGCAAGAGTTACCTGAGTGTGGGAATCCTCACCTGGCTACAGGCTGAGGTTTAAAGACAATATATACAAAGCTCCTAGTACCATGCCTATTACCTAGGTGCTCAGTAGACAGTTGCCATTGCTGCTGCAGTCTTGGTGTTGGTAGAAGGGTCATTAGCCAGAAGTAGCCTACATCTGAGGTTAAGGTGCAGAAAATGGTGGACAGGGATCTTTAGCAGAGAGATTGAGACCTTGTTGTCCAGCAGGAAGGCAGGCTTTGTGACCTGGGTGGAGGAAGGTTGGCGCTGATTGAGGCAGCAGTTGAAAGATGAAGACTACCGCCCTCCACTGCCTCCCCTCTCTCCAGATGGCGTGATGCAGTGGGAACACTTAGCGACTGGCAGTGCTGAGAGTTGGCCTCTTGAGGTTTTGCAGGACAAGGACAACCCTCAGGCTTTGTCTGTGCCGTGGGGCTTCCCTCTGGCTCACTGGGGACCATAGATTCTTTGACTTGGTTTGATTGTCAAGTTGTACCTGCTTTGTTTACCATCACTGACTGTGTTCACTCTCTTCCAGGGGCTCCACGGGCCTTACCCCTTCGGCCAGTCTTAAACGGGCATCGGCAAGAAGAAAAATTAACAAAAGACAGAAGGCCTGACTTTGGGGTGGGGGGGAGGACAGGGGGTTCCTCTGGATTGCAGACCACACCGCATGGACCCCTGGCTCTGACCGCCCCCCCATCCTGGAAGAAGAGGAAGAAGCAGAACAGACTAGTTTTGAGTAAACTCAGTATGCATGTGTGAATGCTGAATCGCGGAATGGTGTTGAGGCTACTAAGAAGAAACCCATGCAGCCGCCTTGGGTTTTGTTTATTAGGCGTCAGTCTAACAAGTCATTAGGTCACTCGGGAAGGAAAAAAAGTTTCAAATGGGGGAAAAAAAGCCATCTTTTTAAACAAAAATTATTTTGCCTACAGACAGGTTGTAGTTTTGAGCACATGTTAATTTTTTCCCCCTTTCCCCACTTTTTTTTTTCTTTAGGTAAGGGATAACGTACCCTTTCTAGAATAGCTGCTTGCTCTGGAAGCGATTCAGGTTACAAGCTGGCGTGGCATGTTTGGGGACTCTGCGGGTCCGTGCCACAGGAAGACATCTCCTGTGCCACCCGACTCCAGCAGTCTCTGACCCCATTTGTTTTTAATGGCATCAGCCAATGAGTTATCATCCTTTTCCTCTTCTTTTTTCTTTAATCTTCTGTTGATTTACACCTTTGACATTTGTATCCGTCAACCCCTGTGGCTTGTTACCATCAGAACCTCTCTGAAGACCAAACTTCCCTGTGTGGCCAGCAGAGGAAGCCTTGAAGACAGACCTTGGGCGACATGGGAGTTTCTAAGGCCGAGAGGTGTCCTTCTGCACACACTTATAACAACTCAAATTGCTTTTCTTCCATGTTTCTCTTGGCAGAGAGAAATGCCATCACGCTTACTGCTCTTTTGGATTCTTCATACACAGCGGCTCCTCATTCACTCTGGGAAGAGTGCCTCTGTGCTGCATACGTGTGTGTGCCACGTGCACGCACACACACGGGTGTTGGTGCAGCTCACCAGCAAAGTGTGCAGCAGGCAGGTGGAAAGGTGTCCAGGCTTCTCTGTTGTGACACAACTCCCTTCCTTGTGTTTCCCTCCCATTGTCCTTTGTGGTATTTTCACAGCCTGTTCGCGGAGGCTGAGCTGTTAAGGTATGGAGATACAGCCCCAAGCAGGGAATTGGCCATGGGGAAGGGCCACAGTTACTGACTGTGTGATTTTGGAGACCACAGTTTGATGAAACAAGAGCACCCCCACCCTGAGCACGATGCTTGGGCAGTAGTGGGAGGTGGTGGGCGAGGGGCAACCCAGCCAGAGCAGAGGCTACTTGGCTGGCTGCCCACTTGGGCATGTGGCCCCACTGGAGTCCTGTGGATTCCAAGCAGGTTGAGCTGTGGACCTCTCCATGGGAAGCTTGAACCAGGCTAGAACAGCTGTCTGCCAAAGATACAAGAATATGCAAAGTCCCTCTTCTCTTTTCTTCTCACCCTCTCCTTCCCTTGAGTCTTGGCTGGTTTGATAGCCGGGGATGTGGATCTAGGGTGTGGTTGCAGGGTTACCTGCCTATTAACCGCATCCTCACCCACCTCGGGGGTGTGAGACAAGCTAGGAGACCAGGTGATGAGCGGCTGCAAGGGGTCATAGAGCCTGGGTGTGGGTGAGGGTCTGCCTGCCCGTCTGTCTCTGTGTGGGTGTCTGAGCTCCAGAAATGTGTGCTCTTTGTTTCTCCTTGTCCTCTTCTGAGACTGTTGTTTTCTAAAGCTTGATTGTGGGAGAAAAGCTTGTATGAAATTCCTCCTTCACATCCCCACCTCCCCAAAAATAAAAGGCAGGAAACCCTTTGGTCTACTGGAGAAGCGCTGGGGGAGGATGGAGCCAACCTGCTGAGAAGGTTTGGCAGCTGGGTCTGGGGCTAGCCTAAGGCTCACAGAGGAGTGGCCATTTGCAGTGCTTTCGAGTGCCCCATTCCTGAGCAGAGTAGAGGGGCGTCCTGGTGGGTGCCCAGTCCATCACTGGCCCAAGCCAGGGGCTCACCATGACTTTTTGTCTGAGGGCCCTATTGGGCCCAGCTTGCCACTACTGTTGGTGCCAACCTCCTGGGACACTGCCACCCTGGAGCCCACACATGCCCAGCCCTCCAAACAGCACATCTCTGGCTGCTGCTGGCAGGATTGTGGGAGGCTTTACATGGCCTGGTTTCCTGGCCTCCTCATCTGCCCCACATCTGGTGCCCCTTCCCCATTTCCCAGGAGGGGCTGCCTGCCTTTATTCAGCAGGGGCTTTCATAGGTCACCATTAGTGGGTCTGGTCCTGCCAGAGGCATCCTGCTCCTCCTCTTGCTTGTAGGCAAGGTGACCGTCCCAAGCACGTTGACTCCCCTCCCAAGAGCAAACCATTTCTGTGCGCATTGTTGGAGAGGCGAGCTCCTTGCAGAGAGCCAGAGCAAGCCCAAGCCGTGCGGTAGGAGTCGGGATTCCACGGCTCCCCCAGGACCAGGGGGGTACCAGTCCCATTCATTCTGTCTCCTCTCACTGGTTTGAGTTCTGAGCAGTGCCTAGAGCCCCTCTCCTCCCCTGCCTAGTGTGGTGGTAGAAGTGGCCCTTTCAGCCCCAGAAGGCAGGCTGCCTCTAGGCAGGACCACCAGTATCCGGCACCCATGAGAGGAGGCAGACGGCACCCTTAGGGGCCTGAGCCCAGCGAGGGAGGCAGAGGGGCTCAGGCCTGGGAAGAACCTAGCGTGTGCATGGAGTGAGGTGTGTGTGGATGTGTGTACGCGTGCATGCCCTTTTTTTTTTTTTTTCCTTTTTGCCATGGAGGCAGTTGAATTCGGGGTATTTTTCTACAAGAAACAGCCTTCTCTCCCCCAGTAAGGATTGGCTGTAACCTTAAGCTCATCATAGAACCTCACCAAGACAGCTCGTGTGGCTTGAGGGTGGCCAAGATGGGATCCCCAAATTCAGTCGGAGCCCCAGCAGGAGAGGATGGTGGGGTTGCTAGGGCTCAGAAATGCAAGCTGATTCCCCCACCCCACCCTGCCTTGCCTTTCCTTCCCTTCATTTCCTTGGGTGAATGCTGGAGCAGCTGTGTCTGCCCCCTCCACCTGGACAGTGGTGTGTAGCAAGCAAGCTGGGTGGGTGTTTGTGGTGGGGCCTCATGGTGCCTGGGAGGAGATGAAGATGGGGAGGTTTTTCCTTACTGTATAAATGAATATTTGTATGATTAAATTAACACACACACACACACACACCAAAAAAAAAAAACCTATTTTCATGTGTGTCAGTGAGTTTTATTGTGCCATCAAGCACCCTGTGTATCTGCTTGCCCCCACAGTGACTCTCTGATGTGCACTTTTTGGTCCCTGGGTCTTCCTTTTGCAAATGGGAAAACTGAGACCCTGAGTTTATGTTTGGGAAATTCACCCTGGGGTTATAATTAGATCTGCCCTTCCTGGCTTCAGTGACCAGAAAGGGGAGGAAATCATTTCCAAGGGCCTTAGGTCCCCCGGGTACTGTGCATCTCTCTAGCACTTCGCCATGCCCAGCACGTAAGCAGTAGCAGCCAAGTTAGTGTCCATCAGCCAGCAGGCCTTTCAGGTATGTAGCCCAGGTAGAGGAATAGCACAGGGGGAATGCAGAGCATCATGGGCATCTTTCCTCCTGGGAAAAAAGACAAGGCTGAGTTGGGGAGTTCCCCTTCTTAGTCCCAGCTGGGCCTCTGGCATCCTAGATGCAGACGGAAGAGGGAATGCACTTAATTGGCATGACAGCAAATGATGGGTTCACTGGATCCATCTCTTCATGTCTGTAGCACGTTTAAGAGCTCAGAACTCAAGTTTGTTTAGTCACATAATCACCCCTCTGTTGAAGAGAAAGTGAGATCAGAGAGGAAGGGAGTTGCTACAGGCTCAGACCCATGGCCTCAGCTCCCAGATGCTGGCATTAAATTCACTTAATTGCAGACCCCCCAATTGGGCCTTCACCCCGGCTGGCAAAGCTGTGTGTTCTAAAGGATGGTGAGGCCGTCTCTCTGTAAGCAGCTTAGTGAGGGAACCGGTGGCCACAGATTGATGAGAGGAATGGAGGCACCACAGAGCTGGCCTCCGCTCCACGGGCCTAAATGCAGGACTCCAGTTCCTCTGGTTAGCCTGGTCGCAGAGCCCACACCCAGTGTGGGAGACTGGCCCGGAGACCCCTGTGGGGAGTGCCCTCACCCAGCCCCCTCCCAGTGCCGTGACAGCACACCAGCATCCTGCTTCCTTCCAGGTGCCCTGGGCTGTTTGTTCTCTGCAGGAGAGGGGCCCCCACCCTGTCACCTGGGTCTTCCGGCAGCTCAGACCCACTCCCGGGCCTTCCTCAATACCCCTACCTACCGCTGGACACTTATTTGCTTGGCAGAATCTGTTTGTCTTTGGGGCTGTAACCTGTCAGGAAGTCACTAGGCCCTGGGAGAGGGGAGCAGGTTGGATGGTAGCTCCTGAGTCAAGCCATTCCCACGCGGGCTAGGTGACAGGGAGGGGGCTCTCTTGCCCAGGGTAGGGGTGGAGGTGCGGGGGGAGCCGGTTGCAGTGGTCCAGGCCCAGCCCTCCTGGCAGAACAAACAGGTCCTCAAGCCACTTCCCTGCCCCAGCTCAGGTTGTACCTGGGTGCCTCCCACCCTGTTCTCGAGAAGGCCCCTCCCTCACCTGCTGGCTGTGACTCGGCCACTTTCCCAGACACCACCTGGTGTCCAGCCCTGTGGCAGCCAAGAGAATGGGCCCAGAGGGCGCTCCTGGGGGTGCAGTAGGGAGCAGGCAAGACTGCTGTGAGCCGGCAGAGTGTGTTTGAGTTTGGGGGTCAGAGTGTCCAGAGAATGGATTCTGACAGGTTAGCATGACTGATGGGTCTCAGATGCCCTTCTCTAGAAGATGGATGTGGCCATGTGTAAAAGCCAGGACTTCAATGGCGCTCTCGGGTTTGGGGGGTGGGGTGGTGAATATCCTTTTTGGCCCTTAGTCTGAGATGCTGTGATCTCGGGCAGTGCTTCTCAAACTTGAACGTGTTAAGATGCAACTTCTGATTTAGTAAATCTTGGGGAAGAGGGCAGGATTCTGCATGTCTGACAAGCTCCCGGATGAGCACATGCTGCTGGTCCTGGGACTGCACGTTGCATGGGGAGAGTAGAGGATGCCTGAAGGGGTTGCCAGCACCCCCACCTCCTGGGTCTGTGAGACCGAGCCAGGTCTAGCCAGGGCTGCATTGGCCAGGCCCACTGGAATTTGAGGGAGTTCAACAGTCATACTCAGTATCTAGAACAGTGATCTTCAAAATGTGGGCCATGGTTCCCCAGCATTTCCCAGGGATTATCCAAGGCTGTGATTTCTGGCTTACACATTACTTCTAGCATACTGCGTTTGTGTCACAAACAAATGTTGGCGTGTCCACTCTAATTGTGGTTATATTGGTTGACTGCTATTGACCAATTCCTATTAAACTACTTACATGAATTACTTCATTTACTCCTCACAACCATGAGGCATCCCAGGGCAGGCCGGTCTGATGCTCAGTTGGTGAACAAGTTACTCCTAAGTCTCACGACTCCTGAGAACAGAAGTGCAGGTACTGAGGAGCATGCAGTGAGCAGCCCCCACTTAGTCCAGGGGTTTCTGGGGGGAAGGGGCACGAGCTCAACCTGAAGGATGGAGGGATGGGGGATGGGAAGGTGGGAGAGAGGGTGATGTACTGAGACCCTGAAAGGAGGTCAGCGCCTCTCCCAGGACTGTTGCTTCCTGTGGCCAATTGTATGTGGAGGGGGAAGGAGGAGAATGGCCTTCCCGGTGACTGTTTGGGAGAGCTCTGCTGCCCTTGCCCCTTTGCAGGTCGCATGATCACCCTTTTATTGACCATTACTTCTATGCCAGGCACCATTCTAGGTGCTGGAGGTAGGGCCGTGGCCAAAAGAGACGAAGTCCCTATCCTCGTAGAGCTGACACTCTAGTCAGGGCGGACAAGACAAGTAACACAGATGTCAGGAGGTGGCGGGTGCTGTGGAGAGAGAGAAAGCAAAGAAGGACAGGGAGTGCCGGTGAGGGAGAGAGGATTGCTAGAGAAGGCCAGAGAAGCCTTCACTAACATGCACGAAGAACACCTTGTGGATATGTGGAGGGAGAAGGTTCCAGGCAGCGAGAACAGCAAATGCAAAGGCCCTGAGGTGGGAATTTGGCTGTTGCAGAGTGAGCAAGAAGAGTAGGAGGAGGGGCGCCTGGGTGGCTCAGTTGGTTAAACGAGTCATGCAGGTCATGATCCTGGAGTCCCGGGATCGAGTCCCGCATCGGGCTCCCTGCTCGGCAGGGAGTCTGCTTCTCCCTCTGACCCTCCTCCCTCTCATGCTCTCTGTCTCTCATTCTCTCTCTCCCAATAAATAAATAAAATCTTAAAAAAAAAAAAAAAGAGTAGGAGGAAATGAGGTCAAGGGCATCTGGGTGACTCAGTCAGTTTAGCGTCTGACTCTTGGTTTCATCATGATCTCACGGTCGTGAGACCTCTCTCTCAAAATCTAAAAAATGTGGTCAGAGAGTTGAGGGGGGTCAAGTGAGATGGGGCCTTGAGGTGACTGACCTGGCGTTGGCTTTCACTTTGGGCGAGACAAGCCATAGGAGGCTGTGAGCATGGGGAGGGACACATCTGACATCCTTCAAAGGAGACAACACTGTAGGTTACAAGGGCAGAAGCAGGGAGAACCAGTGTTGACTGGGCGCTGTCAGTGGGTTGGGGAGCAGTGATTAGATCTTCAGAACACTTGGGAAGTGAGAGTATTTGCCCACGGGTAAGATGCAGAGTGCCAAGAGAGGGACGGGGTGCAAGATGGAGGAGTCGCTGTTCGCTGAGACAGGGAGGGCTGTCTGAGGAGCAGCTCGTGGGGTAGAATCTGGGGTCGGGTCCAGACCTGTGCAATGTGAGATGCCCGTTTGCATCTGTGGGAGGCGCAGGGCAGCCAGGTGGATAGGCAAGTCTGCTGCGCGGGGGAGATGGGGGGTGGGAGACGGTGGGGGTTGTCACCATTAGGTGGAAATTAGAGCTTCAGGACTAGAGGAGCTCTCCATCCCAAGAGTGCCCCCAGGTTTGGCCTCATCAGTCAGCACACTCCCTCAAAGCCTCCTCGTTGCCCTAGCTCCCTTGTGATGAACTTCTCTGACCAAGAAGACAGACCCTCTTAGACTCTGAGCTCTGAGGGCTGCAGTTGACCTCTCCTGTCCTGGCAGTCACTTCTGTCCCAACCCTCTCAGCTGGATACAGAGGGCATGAGGGGTTCCCTGCAGTCCAGGCCAGGGGCGGCCTTACCCAGGAGCCAGGTGGCAGGGGCATGGGGGAGTGAAGCCAGGACCCCAATAGTCTGTAATTTCATTCCTGTGGCCTGTCCTCTCAAGGACAGTCTAGGGCTCTGGAGCCAAGTTCTAGGAGTTCCTCCTGCTGGGCTGTGGGAAAGGGAAGTCTGAGAGAGGATGGGGGCTGAGTGGGGACCCCCCCTGGCCCTGGTCAACAACTGAGACCCCCGAGATCCCTGACAAGCTGGGCTGTCACTGCTTTGGGCTTCTGAGCAGCCGAGGCCCCCCAGACAGTTCGAGGGCAGTGGGACAGCAAGGTCCAGGGAGAGATTGCAGCTGGGCTGTGAGGAATGCCTTCTCGGGGTGACATGTGGAGAGCAGGACCCGTCCCAGGGGGTGCTGGGAGTGTGGCCACCTCAGAGCTGGGGCAGGGTGGGCCCAAAGCCGGCAGAGGGTGCCCTGTGGCCCAGGCCTTGTCGGGAAAGGATGGACCCTGCCCAGGCCCGGCTCCCCCTGCAAATGTGTTGCCCAGATCCCCA